ACAAATGATAGCTCAACAAAGTGACTTTTCACGTGCACATGTATAGCAGTCAAATACTCTAAACCCACGATTCTAAAATGTGGGGGGAAAAACCCACGCGATCACGGGGAAAGATACATCCAAACTCAAAATACACAGGTGTCAGAGGATCGGGATCGAACTCACGACCCTCCTGCATACGAGGCGAGTGAGTTAACACTCGTCATCAGAATCAGCCATGGTCTACCCACTGTTGGATGGCCGTACCTGCCAAGTTGTCGCCACCTCTCACAAACCTGGGATGCTATAATTAGCCTATCACCTGCACGCACCAACAGATTCCACAGCTCCATCTCCCGGGGGACGTCAGTTGGGAGGCATCCATTCCGATAAAAACAGTATCTATTCACAAATCAGGCCATTGTCAAGGATTTAAACAAGGAACACCGAGAAAGTGTTTTAACGTCTCCGAGTCTCATCGGAAGGCTGTGTGTCCTGTTAAGTGAATTCCATTGGATGGCCTCAAGTCACAGGCAAAAGTCAGTGATGAACACAGCAGAGCCCAAGAGTGACATTCAACACGGTCCTTTACATGGTCTCATTAACCTATGTTATGCTTTCCTGATTAAGAGAATGTAATTGACTTGAGTGGATTTTGTTGTTATGTTGTTGTTATATTTTGTTCGTCCACCAATGCCAACGGAGAATCACCGACAAAAAAAACTTGCCTATAACACATTCCTGCGGAGGGAGATGGTAGGAACGTTGGGTTGCTCGGTCAATGGCCAGGGTCAACGGCAGCGTGGTGTATTCCGCAAATAAGGCCGACTGTGAGGGCGGGCACAAGCCGACTTGAGTAGGTTAAACGTTGAGTTTTATAAGGGCACCACGGGGCGACCAGCCCCTCCCCACCCAGCCCCTTCCCACTCAGCCCCTCCCCACCCAGCCCCTCCCCACCCTCCCCACCCAGCCATTCCCCACCCTCCCCTCTCCACCCAGCCCCACTCCTCACATTTTTGGATGCACGACGGACACAATAATCCCCTGTGGGCTGGTGTAACCAGGAGGTTTCTACCAATAACACAATGAGTATCCGTTAATAGGCAAGTCAGTTTGTTGTCCTTCCCCCGCACCTCGATTGGCTACGTACTGTGCGAAAGAAGTTCAATAATGAATCACCGTATCTTACAATTCATCATCAGCTATCTTCTATCAACAGCCAGACAAAGGCCCTCTTCCCACATTTCTAACACCCCCCACCCCCGTCCCTCCACATTCCCGGGATCCCAGGATCCAACATCTCGCTCCTGCACAGGAGAATATCTCATTGTTCCATCTCCGTAGTGGTCACCCTCTCGCGTGCGTTCCCTCCTGGAGCTTCCCAATCCATTGTCATCCTCGTCCATTGTCATCCTCGTCCATTGTCATCCTCGTCCATTGTCATCCTCGTCCATTGTCATCCTCGTCCATTGTCATCCTCGTCCATTGTCATCCTCGTCCATTGTCATCCTCGCACCATTGTCATCCTCGTCCATCAGCCTTTACCCCCTTTCCTCGTGATCTATTCCGGCCAACTCACTTTTTATCAAGTCAATGATGTACCCAAAGTGTGCATATGTTTGTATGCACGTTTGTTGAATTTTCTTTCACACCGTACGTAGCCAACCGCGCAAAATCGGTGGTGCGGGGGGATTTGTTAGCCCTTGCACAGCATTTTTGCTCCACATTTTGGGGAGCTGCTTCAGGTACAGAAGCTCCCCTAAAATACTCGCCGGAGGGCTCTACAGCACAGCTGTGAAAGCCCACGCAGTCGTAATACTTCATTACCCACAAACTGCCTTGGCAGCGCGTAATTATTTGATTTCGTACGCAAGGCAGCGTACGGACAAAAAAAAAGTTTCCTCCGCAAACGGCTGCTGCTGCTGCTGCGTGAACTTGGCTGAAGCAGGTCACAGACCCACCAGAGCCCAGCGCGCCCTCTCTCTCCGTTCCAGCATCTGCGGCGAGTTAGAGGCCATCCATTAGGTAGGTACGCATGGAGGTGGGGGGGGGGGTCAACCCAAATGGGGGTCTACTGACAATGTACGTACGCATAAGAAACGGGGGGGGGGGGGGAAGGATGAAGCCTCCGTAATAATGTGTCCACATTGGCCTTCAAATGAGTTAGATAGTCCAGCGGTGGACTGTTTGCTTCAACACGTTCATATTATTACTCCTTGATCGTTTCTGCGTGGATTAAATATCGGCCGTTCTATAGGATTCGGGGGGGGGGGGGCGTCAGGCGTACGTACGCAGGTGGGGGGGGGGGGGGGTAAAAAAAACGCGTGCGTACAGGGAAGAAGGGGGGGGAGGGGTCAAGTTTTGACAGATGTTTTGCGTACGCACTAAATGGATGGCCCTTAAAGCGGCAGGACTCAGTGGAGCTCTCTTGCAGCCTCCACTGCATCCACAGAATTCGAACTCTTCCTTCCCCCCACCCCCCCGCGTTATGTCCAACCAGGTGCAGGCCGACCCTCCGAAAAGGGAAGGGGGCCCCCACCCCCGCACCCCCGCACCCCCACCCCCCCCGTCTGATTCCAGGAGAATTCGGCAGAGTCGGCGTGTCGAGCGCTGGGGCTCACTCCCGATGCTTTAGACGTCCTGCTGCGACTCGATTTTCTTGACAGGTCGGCATAAGGGGGGGGAGGGTGTAGAGGGCCATGAGCACTCAACCAGCCAAGCCGATTCCCTCGACGGCAACAAATCTATTTTATGGGCGCATACCACGTGTAATTCAAACGTTACTTGCAGAGGCTACCGACTCATTTTGAAATGTATCAATGCACGACACGTAATGAGTCGGGGGGGGGGGGGGAGGCATGGGGTGCAAGGTGGCCAGGGAGAGCACAGCAAAGCGAAATACTGAAGTCATTTGCGCAGCTTTGGGGAGTGTTTTCCCCTCTCGTGCGTGTGTGGGGGGTTTCTCCAGGCGCGTCTCTCATTCTACATGGCAGACAAAACAACAAAAAAACGCCCGCAAATGGAATTGCCCCAAGCAGCCTAATGCAGAACTCGCCTGGAAAATAGTTGAGGCTCAGGGGGGTACTTTTCTGGTTGAAGAAGTCACAGCTGGGACAATTAAGGGAGGTGACGTCCCAGCATCCTGTCTCTTAAACGATGAAAAACACATCAGACCCCTATACCCCCCCCCACCCCCATAATGTTTATACCGGTGGACCAATTAATCGAGTGATGAGACCGATCATCGGTAAAGTAATACATTACTTTAAAATGCAATAAGTTAAGTCACGTAGGTAAAAAATTAAATTTAAATTAATAAAAATAAAATAATAAAAATCACGAAGTTTTCGGAGGCAACACAAGTCTCCGTCATCAGGTGGGACCGTCACAGCCAGATTTGCTGTATCAAATATTATTATTTTATTTTTTATTAATTTTAATTTCATTTTTTACCTACGTGACTTTACCGATAAAACTAAGAGTATGAATCATTGCAGTCACGAAAGCTTCAAATCTAGGATGCAATAAGTAGATCAGACAATACGCCTCCTTAAAAAACAAAAAACACGTTTATCTTACCAAGTAAATATGCGATTTTTTTTCACATCCCAACAACAACACGAAAACGATAACCTATTTTGTTTTTATAAATCAATTGAAAATAAGCTTACAGTTCTACGTCAATCAACAACTGGATGACGTTGTTCCCCTCTCCTAAGCGCTGCTCACACTCCCAGTAAAACATTCCTTGATGGATGTCACGGTTACAAAAATATACATATTTTATGATAGTGAGATACACCAAAATGGCAATGAATTATCTCTACTAACCGCAAATCACGTTCAGCACACAACACTAGGAATAAGAATCGTTGCATCTGGCAAGATGAAAGAAATAGCTTGCCTTGTGCACAAAGAGAGGCCCTTTAGGGCTAAATGGGCAGAGGCAATGAAGAGTATTGTGATCGTGCATAACAAAATAATAATAACAACAATAATAACAATAACCAATAATGATTCTTCTCTTCTTTAGTGCTGCCTAACGGCATGTGCGACTTCACGATGATATTGGTCCCGGTCTAATGATTAACAATGACAATGCACACGCATACCATAACTTCTCAACATCATTGCTCGGAACTATCTTCTCAAAATTAGTTTTTGCCCGCACCAGAATGGTATGCGTGCATTTCAAATTGCCGAACACGGTATGCATTCGTTATTTACGTTGATATCAAATTTACGCCATAAGAGACACGTAGGGTGCTCTCTTTTCATAAGCATCGTCTTCTGAGATTTCATTACCAAAACACGACAAGGAGTGGGCCAATTTTCTAACCCTTAAACAAAGTCAATTCATTTGATTTGTTTGCTAAATTCCACATCCAGTTTCATGGGTTTTTTTTGCAATTGGACGAACCACGAGTGGCCAGGAAAAAAAAAAACACAATGAGACACACCTTAATAGCCATTGGGTCATTAGGAGGGACCCAAGCAAAACGAAGACACACATACCATTAAAAAGTGAGGTTCACCTTTCTGATAAATATGCCAAATCATTTGGCGATTTAACCTGCACGTATATATATTTATTTATTAATCTCCCTGAAGCAGCATTAACATTAATTCTAGATTTGAAGCTTTCGTGACTGCAAGGATTCATATTCTTAGGTTTTTTTTCGGTAAAGTCACGTAGGTAAAAAATTTAATTAATAAAAGTAAAATAAAACAAAATAAAATAATTTTATTTAATTTTTTTACCTACGTGACTTTACCGAAAAAACCTAAGAATATAGCATTAACATTATTTAAGACTCCTAAAAGCCAGATTATTGCAGCCTACAGATAATTCAGTGGAGAGTAGTGGCAGAGTGGTAAGCACACTGCACCGTTAACTTTAATTCCCGAGTTTGATTCTAGGCTGATGGTGAAGTGTGATATCCGAACTGGTTCTGTTCTCCCATTTCACATTGACCGGTGTGGTGAAGTATAGTCAAAGCTTGCCTCAGTAGTTGCATATTGTTTGATGCGATGTTTGAAGTTTCACTCCACACGCCGAGAGACGGTTTCTTTTTTCAGGGAATTGAACGAGAACCGATTTGAGTTCCTGAAAAAGACATCGTACCAACGCAAACTAAACTCTTTTTTTTATTTTACAAGGTAAGGCCCACTGAGCAATATCACTTTTTCAGCTACTTGCCTAGCTATATAGCTATATAGCTAGGCAACCAGCTAGGCAACCATCGGGTCATTAGGAGATATTTCTTGACAACCAGCTCCGTATGTAGCCAACCGATTACCACTGTTGGCTACCTGCTGTGCGAAATAAGTTCTACATACATGTTCTTATCAACCAAACCATGTGCAGGGAAGTTGGTAAGCAGTTCCCCCCCCCCCCCCCCCCCCATGTACTCGTGTCATTCCAATTCAATCAACAGGGAGACATGTCCCTCGGGCAGACGAAGCGTAAATGACATTGTTCTAGGCAGAAATTGAATCTCTACGATTCAGCTTCAAAACGACACTCACTCACAGACACAGCCAACGCATTAAACACACATTACGCGCCACGGTGCATTGTTTATGGAAGAAAAAGTAAATCAATATTAAATTATTCGTCCTGAAGGTGAGTCACGGGTGTACTGCTGCCGGGAATTACACTAATAGTGTGCGCTTTCAAGGCACTGATTAATGTATGTTTGTGTTTGTAGAATGCCCTGAATGCCACGCACAAATAATCTACATGTACAGGTCTGACACTCAATCAATAATGTGCTCTCTTAGGTGGTGTGAAGAAAGTTAACGATTTTTTTTCATTTTTTGTTGTTGTTCATATTTGGCTTATCGTAAACCGTGTCATTATTAACAATTCAAATCGCAGTAGGCAAACACAGCGTTGGCTTTCACCGTTGTGCTTTAAAGCTCTCGGATTTTTGTTTATGGATGTAACGAGTGTTGTTTGACACCTTGAGGTTTATTTAGAGTTTGCATGTCTCTCTCTCTCTCAATTGTCGCGTGCATTTTTCTCCGGGTCCTCCGGTTTTCCCCCCCTCCACGTTTAGAAACACGCGTTTAGAGTGCGTGGCTGCTCTGAATTGCAGCATAATCCACTGCTCGTTGGGGTATCATTTGTGATAGCCAGCTTGCTTATGAGAAAATAACCAAATCGGTCAGTGGGCCTTACCTGGTAAGATAAAGAAATAAATATAGTTTCGCGTGTTTATGCATAATACAAGATTTTTGGGTTAGATCACGTATATATTCCCGCGAATATATATTTTCGCGATAAAACCTATAGAACTTGTATAATGGATGCTATTGGTCACGAAAGCCAAATTTAGCGAGTTTTGTTTGGCACAAAGTCTGGCTTTTTGCTCCATATGCTGGGAGTTTCTTCAATAACTCAAAATCAATTCTCACTTCTCAATCCCTCACCTCCTAAAAATGGCTCTCGGCGTGTGCATTGAAACATTAAACCTCGCACTAAATAATACGAACCAAAAACACACAGGAGTGCTCCACAAATGTATAGTTTGATGATCTGACCATGTAGTCCTGTGGCAGAGTGCTCAAATCATTATTTTAAAGATTATGAATCGAAAACTCAGGTCAGGGCTACAACTAGTCTCATTATTCCACCTTGCTTGATGTGTATACCTTCATTAGGAAATCAACAGTTGTAGCAATGCAACTAAAAGTGTAAATAAGAGACCCATCACAACAGAAAACAATCATGCGGCCTTGAAAACAATTAAATTAAACATCACGTAAAAAGGTTTGCAAGTATTCCATGCACAAAACCTCTCAGCCTTACCCAGACCATCAGCTCAAGAAAACTGAATGTGTGGCAATTTTTGACGACCCGATCTAGTAGTTTCACCGCTGCCCATTTGGATAGCCACATGTTGTTCTCTAAACATTCGAGTAGTTGGTCTAAGCTGTAATGCACACCGTTGGGGGCCCCCATTCCATCGGAAACTGGCTTTTGCAATTTTAATGTGGAATTTCAGTCAACAAGATAGATGAACGCCACCGTGCTGGTAGTTAGTTGGGCAATGCAGAGCTCATAACGTTGACTTCATGCTGGGTCGGCATTTCGTAGAGAGATCACGTGTGCATGAACCATTTCATGTGCAGAGCTACCCAGTGACCATGAGGTGGCAGCCCATCAAGCGAGTTGCAATATCTGTGCGAATGGATTTGTTTGCTTGTACCCTAGAACGCCAGGGTTCTTCCCTTGTACTCAGGTTCCCTTCAAAATAGAAAAAAAATTCCCAAGCAGTACCTTCCTAAAATAGGATCTTGAGTCTAATTGAGAATGTTTTAGTTAAATTAAAAAGGAACATTATTAGCTATGTTATTGTAACACTAAACATCATATTGCATTTTTTAAAATAATGAAATCATTGCTGGTCATTGTGTTGTGTCTAAGTGTGCAGGGTTGTAATGTTGAGCTGGGGGGGGGGTGGGGAATGCTGGATTGTCCTTTATGCGTTCACGATGACAGTTTAGCCAATGACGATCAATGAAAATAATTATCACCACTCGGATTATTGTCCTTATTGATGCAAATATTATACATATTTCTAAGAGGCAATCCCGATGATTCACGGTGTATTAACACATCTGTGCAAGAGCTACCAGAAATTCCACTCGGCAACATGGTAAAAAACCCGCTCCAATTATATATTTAATCATATATCACGGCAGATTTATTTTTTCTTCTGCTGCCGTCAATTAAGCAATGCTAACTTAATTACGATAAAGGGAATGCAATATATCTCTGGCTCCGTTACCGCCGGAATGATTTGCCAAAATAAGTAACACTCTTTCATATCCATTACCGCCTGAACGATTTGCCAGTCCAAAAGAAGTAACACTAGATTTGAAGTTTTCGTGACTGCAAGGATCCATACTCTTTGGTTTTTTCGGTAAAGTCACGTAGGTAAAAAAACTAAATAACAAAATTAAATAAATTGAAATTAAAACTAAATATAAACTAAATTAAATGTGTATTTAGTTGTTTTCATTTAAAAAAAATGTTTTACCTACGTGACTTTACCGAAAGAACAAACGAGTATAGAAGTAAAACTCTTTCATATCCGTTTCGACGGCTGGTGACAAACCAAAGCGCTTCCCTTAAAACTCCGGGGAAAAAGAAGGGCTTTGCTTTGTTTTGGCATATCTGTCAACTTTCCTCTCGAGCTCGAGAAAACGGACGAGTGTTTAATTGAAAAAGCCACTTCACTGCAGCTCAAACAACCCTCAGTCATTAACTGTGCCATTAATCACGGCACTATGGCAGCACCAGGCAAGGCCCAGTCATCGTTGTTTTCACCCAGACACAACAAGGTCGAGCGAACGTGATTGTTGCTGGCTCTCGTGGGTTGTGACACCGAATTTAATTTCGCCAAATTAGGTTTTTTCGGTAAAGTCACGTAGGTAAAAAAATAAAATTAATACAAGTAAAATAAAAATAAAATAAAATAATTTTTTTGTTACTTTTATTAATATAAAATGATTTTTAAAAAATTACTTTTATTAATTTACATTTTTTACCTACGCGACTTTACCGAAAAAAACCTAAGAATATGAATCCTTGCAGTCACGAAAGCTTCAAATCTAGAATAGAACGTTTAGCTTGTTGCTGGAAATAAAAAAAAAAACACGCGGAAAATCGAGAGGGTTTTATTCTTGGAGGTTAAATATACTACGCTCGGCCCAAAATGCGTTCAGCAATACCATTACCATTAACTCTGCTGCCTTGTAACCAAACGAGGGAAAGCTGGCATGTTGCTATCGTGAGCACACTGGATTTGCGATCCAGAAGTTACCGGCTGGGTTTTATCCACTGGGTCAGGAATTGAAACATTGGCGCAAATTTCTCTGAAGCCCCCTCCAGCACTGTCCACATGGGTCCCATCACTGCCAGGTCGATAATTCATCGGCAGCTCCTGTTTGGTGAGTTCAAGTATCGTGATATTTTACCAGCATGGAAGGGGGACGCCGACCTCCCCCCCCCTCCCCCCCAGAGGGAATCTATAGAGAGTGGAGGCCCTTCCATCAGCAGTAGCATACGGAGGCAATTGCAGGTCTGCATCTTTATACCTCACATTGGCAAAACAAAAAGGGTGCAGCCCTGTTTGCATCTCTTTCAGCCTTTCGGTCCATTAAAAAAAGACAAAATGCTACTTCACAAACTCTACAGGCGTCCACACGTAAGTTCTGTGCACGTGATTGGTACTCTTCCGACAACAGGCACCTTTTATAAAATACAGAGCTCAGCAGCATTAGTGCTCCGATCAGCCCGTTGGCTTTGCCGCCGACTTAGCGCGCCCTACCTGCCGAGACACAGCCTTTGGTAAATATTTGCCGTGAATTCCTTTGTGCTGCCTCTCTCGCGGAGGTCAAGGGTTAGGGATAAAAATGGGGAAAAAGTTGTCATGTATTTAACCCGGCTCGGCAGAGAGGGTGAAAAGGATATCGCCCGCAGTATTTGTTGTAACGCTGTCGCTGCCATGGGAGGCACTTTTTTTTTAAAGCCCATTGTATTGCAAAAAGGCGTAGTTGAACACTCATTTAGAAAGAGGTGGCCGAGCGTCAATATAAAGGTGCAGTCAAGAAATTGCTTTGCTTAAGCCACTGCTTGTAGAAGGCCTCGTTCGACGGCATATGTTCAACTCAACACTGCTTATCGTAGATACGAGAAGCAGCTCTAGAATATACTCTTAGTTTTTTCGGTAAAGTCACGTAGGTAAAAAATTAAATTAAATTAAAACGGGGATTTTTTTGGGCCTACTCTTCCACGCTGGTCAGACTTCTTGGAAGGAGGTGGGAGTACCCACACTTTACCCCACCACAATGGACCCAATTGTAGTGTACCGATACACCGCATGGGAGATATCGAACCAGAGACCTATGGATTGCAAGCCCAGTGTGTTTATTGCACTGACAGCAGAATTCCATGATATACATTTTATTTAAAAAAAAACTATAACTAATGACAAAATCGTAGTAAAAAAACCGTTGAAGTACAATGATGGGTGTCTCAGGCTGAAAGTCAAGGCAAGTGTTAAACTGCTCAAACAATCATTATAGTTATGCTTA